GCAACTGCTGTGAATGGAATAGGGGTGTCGGTTTCAGCATTGCTGAATTGGCGATATCGTCCACATTGGCAGCTGGAAGATTCCCTTTCGTTTTGAGACCGCAGAACTCAAACATCATTTTCCATGTATCCCGACAATTTCTGTTTGCCAGCATGTACATAAGCGGCGTTTACTCTCCGCAGTTCAATAGAAAGTCTTCTCATCAATGGAGACGGCACAATCTGATTCCCGTGGGGATACTAAATAATGTGGATAGATTAAATTTCTTAGTCACTTTGTCGACCAGTTTTGGGCATAGCAAACATCAGTTACACACAAGAGACAGCGCGAGGGTGAAAATCCGAAGAAACTTACTTCAATTTCTTTTTCCAGCTCAAGAGTGGACGACATCTGGATATTAGCAGACTGTTTGTCCTTCGCTTTTTTCTAAAGTAAACAAATTGAAAACATACAGCAGTTACCAGACGGTCGTAAGGGGACTCAGAATCTCGGTGGTAGAGAGCTTCTCTGTTACCCTACTGAATACCACACCTATCCTATCAGGTCTTAAGTAGTTCACTACTCCAAAACTATTTACTTGTTATCGGTTACCTGTAGCCAATACACAATGGCATCCGATAAAAAAGTAACCATGAATCATCCAGTGTTACTTTAAAAACGATATCAGAAATGATAAATTTCAGCACTATACCAGATGTAACCAACAAATAACATTTCTTTTATCTTACCTTGCCTTAACGTTTCAGTAATATGAAAACACTTTCATGGAATTCCCGCTTGAAATTCTACGCCAGCAAACGATCGGGTTGCATGCTTAAGCATCAGTTCAGTTCAGATAAATTTTGATCTTGCATCATAATGCTCTGATTCTGATTGTTTTCACTTTGGGAAAACGAAACAAAGGAAAATTTCACGATCCTCATACCTATTGTAGTATTGTCAGTAGAGATTACAATGCGTCGACGTTTTGGACAGCACGGCGAACCCATCACAGTAATCCATTTGAAATGGACCTTTACCGGGAAATAAGTTATCTCAAAAGGCACAAGGCCTCTTGTCCAGACGGCCTGTCCCCATCGATTTCTAAGAATGGAGATCTAGCTTTGGTTTTGGAGTTAACGAAACTCCTTGGTTCAGTGTGAGAAAAGGAACATATTCCAACTGAATGGTGTGAATCGGTGATCATACCGATTTACGAGAAGGATGACAGGTCCTCTTGTGAAAACCACAGAGGCATTAGTTTAATTAACATTGCCTCTAAAATTCTCGCCGGGACCATACTCCGTCGATTGTCTGCCGCTCCTGAAGAGTGTACACGTGAGAACCAGGCTGGTTTTAGATCTGGTCGAGGTTGTATCGACCACATCTTTACTCGTCAAATCCTAGAACACAGACGCTCTTTTCGTAGACCCACCACTTCCATCTTCCTCGACCTGAAAGCGGCTTTCGACTCAGTCGACCGCTCTAAACTCTGGCGCTGCCTTTCCCTGAAGGGAGTGCCCGAGAAGTTTAGCTCAATATTACAATCCCTCTACAATAATAGCCGAGGCCGAGTTCGAGCTTACATCACTTTTTCACCTCAGTTCACCACGGAAAGTGGTGTTCAACAGGGTTGCCCTCTCTCTCCTT